GGACAACTCACCAAATTCAGGCAGCTGCTAAGGCAGGTATCTCACTCCTATATATATAGGAGTGAGTCTTTCTTGTTACTTATGATTTATCCATTCTATACTTTGGAGAATTGAGTGAGATATATACTGACTTAAGCATTGGAGGCTCTTCACCGGAAAACCCCCCCGGTGTGAGAGTTCTTTGCAGGTACGTGGCATTTTACCGGCAAGGAAGAGAAAGGCGAGCCGATCTCAAGCCGGTCGGAGTGTTTTGCGTTACCACACTGCATTCATTTCTTCTCTAGTTGAACCAAGAACATACAAGCAAGCAGTAAATGATCCTCTTTGGCAAGAAGCCATGAAAAAGGAATTGACTTCTCTTGAAAATAAAAACACATAGGTTTTAACTAATCTGCCGCCAGGTAAACATACTATAGGTTGTAAATGGGTTTTCAAAATCAAGTTTAAATCTGATGGCATAATAGAAAGATATAAAGCTAGACTTGCAGCTAAAGGTTACACACAAGAAGAGGGTATTGACTACTTTGATACCTTTTCCACTGTTGCCAAAATAACTACAGTTAGGCTTTTACTTGTTGTTGCATCAATTAAAAACTGGCATGTGCATCAATTAGATGTTAATAATGATTTTTTGCATGGTAATTTAGATGAGGAAGTCTATATGACTCCTCCCCTGGTTATATTACCAAATCTGAAGATAAAATGAAATTTTGTAAATTGACAAAGAGCCTATATGGTTTAAAATAGGTTTCTAGGCAATGGTTCCACAAATTAACTTCTTGCTTACTTGAATATGGTTTTTCTCAGTCCATTTCAGATTGTTCCCTGTTCACTTTAAAAACTGATACTTATTTCATTGCCTTATTGGTTTATGTTGATGATATAATCCTTACAGGGAACAATCTCAATAAAATTACTGAAATTAAGAATCACTTAGATGCCTGTTTTACAATAAAGGACCTTGGTTAATTGAAATATATTTTGGGTATTGAAGTTGCTCATTCTGATAAAGGAATCAACCTTTGTCAAAGAAAATATGCTTTGGACATACTATCTGATTCTGGTTTCTTAGGTAGTAAGCCTGCCTCAACACCAATGGATCCCAATTTAAAATTAACTTCTCTTCATGCCTCTGACTTAAAACTCACAGATTAAAAATTTTTTAGAAGGTCAATAGGCAGGCTACTTTGCCTAACCATTACCAGACTAGATATTTCATATAGTGTACAGGCTCTTAGCCAACATATGTCCAAACCCACTGAAACACACCTGGCTGCAGCTCACAGGATTCTCAAGTACATTAAATGCATTGTCGGGAAAGGTATTCTTCTTCCCAGATCTTCTGAACTTCTTTTACATGGTTTTTTAAATAGTGACTGGGCTGCTTGTGTAGATACTAGAAAAAGTATCACTGGTTTTATGTTTTTTCTGGGTAATTCTCTTATATGTTGGAAATCAAAAAAGCAGAATACAGCGAGCCGTTCCTATGCAGAATCCGAGTATAGAGCCTTGGCCTCAGCCACCTGTGAGGCTCAATGGCTACTATACTTACTCAATGATTTAAATATTACTCATTCCATTGATGTTTGCATTTTTTCAAATAGTAAGTCAGCTATTGCCATTATACATAACCCTGTTTCGACGAGAGGACAAAGCATATTGAACTAGATTGCCACCTAATCCGGGACAAGATCAATAAAGGCATGATCAACCTGCAGTACATATCCACAAAAGATCAGCTTGCGGACTTGTTCACAAAGGCATTAGGACCTTCTCAGTTTCAACTGCTTCTCTCCAAGATGAACATGGTTAATATCCATGCTCCTTTGCGGATTAGATAAATCAAATTTCATTATATATTTTACTTATTTACCCTTGTAGTGTAATGTTAAGAGTTAAAAGCGTGTTTTACTCTCCTAGCAACTTTAGTGTTATCTCATTATTATAAATAGCTTGTTTTAGGGTTTGGTGAATTATTCTATTCATTCTATTCAATATCAGATCTCGTTTTTTCTCTCTCGGCTGTTCATCTCCATATTGCTCGATTTCTCTGATTATTCATCATCTCTATGAATTCTTAGATTAATTCTTCTAATACAATGCTATGGTATCAAGCAGTGAAAGAGATGATAAACAAGAAAAAAAAAGGTTAAAGAAATGAACGGTAGGATTAAATATGTAATTATATATTCTAATTGATCAGGCGACATACTTGGACTTGATTCACTTGACACTGTCTCATAGCACCCAAAAAATAAGTTGTTACCACTCCAAGAAAAAAACTGCATTTAGTGACGTTTATTTTTTTATTTGGTAACATTTATTAGTATCACAAATAAATTTACCCACACTTTCAAAAGTGTCACGAGTTGTGTTGCTAAATTTGATGTCACGAATTTATTTGTGATGCAACCTAGATGCGTTGGTAATCTTTAATATGCGACACTTTTTCAAAAGTGCGTCGTTAGTACATTATTTAGTGACACAATATATTAGTGTAAGTAGTTTTTAATGGGTGAGTCTCTTTTGAGTGCGTCATTATTACTACGAGTTGTGAAATAAAATTTTAGCGTCGTAAATCCCAATGCATGACTCTTACTTTATGGCGTCATTAATAAGGATTATTGTGACACTAAATTGTATTGTTGACAATTTTTAATTCATTACACTTTTTTTAAGTGTGTCATTATAATTTTTGGTGACTCAAAATATGAGCATTCAGAAATATCAATCTACGACACATTTTTAATGCGTCATTATTATAAAATTGACAACAATATTGTGTCAAGATTTAGTGAGAATTGCTAATAATAACTAATTAACTAATGTCACTAAGTTGGTGACAATTCTAATGAAATAATGACGTTGATATAAGATGCTTTAATGTCGTCAAAATTATGACGGCTATAAAAATAGTCGTCAAATTAGTTACACATATAATAATTTCCGTCTACATACTAGAGAATCCATAGTGAAACAAAAGTTATTATAATAAAACTCAAAAAATAATAATATCCACAATAAATATAGAAAATAAATAAAATGTAAAAATTATAATAACATAATAAAAAGAAACCACGTCATTGTCTAATAAAACAATTTCAAATAATTCAGAAAAATGTAGAATAAACAAGGTAGGTGACGAGATTTGTGCCCGTCATACGCTCTTTATATTAAGTGCAAACATGTTTTAAAATAAAAGAACAAAATTTGATATCAATTTATATTCATCAAAGTGACCCGACTAGAAAAAAGTTATATATGAATATGAGACACAATTTCATATGAAACATTTAAATGTAATTACTTACCGACATACGCTTCAAGAGGAATCATGTTTTTCCAGCACTTTCTGAGAAGTCGGGAAAATTCTATAGAAAAACCACACACCAAAGAATATGATTATATAACTTTACCAACATGAAAATAAATATTGAGAATTTATGACATAATGAATGAATATAAAAATATTTACCGGTGACATTATTTCTTTAAATTCCAAGAATTCCCTTTGCATTCGATTCTTGTCGTCTTCCAACTTTGCTATTGTATTATCATAAGCAACTATCAAGTTCTCTATCTTTGTTTAATAAGTGGATTGCATCTAACCAAGTTTTCGCATGCTTTCAAGATCACTTGATTGTCGTTCTTTTGAGTGAAAGGTTTGACCAACACCAACTTGTGTTGGAGTCACCCCTAAGCCATATCCATTAACTCGTCCATATTGATCTTCTCCTAAGAGTTCACGGAAGACTACATTTTGATGTATATCTGCATCTCCATTTTGCAAGGTTACACTACGTTCTGAAATCATGTTCGTTGTTGTGTCCTATTAAAAGAGACATAGATTTAGAGAAAATGAAATTGTTTACCAAACCAATTTAGCCCAATATATCATTAACAAGAAAAAAAAGTACATTTGTCGCTCTTATGTTAACAACATTATGATTAAATGATATATTAAGTTTATAGCATTACATAGTTGCTTTTGTTTTCACTGTGAATAAAATTAAGAACGACTAAAGACATTACCATTATTTTTTGAACTTTTGGGTTGACAAAACTTCCATCTTTTTTCTTTTTACGCGTAATTGTAAAAAAGACCACCCGCCCAGGTTGCTTCCCATTTTTCACTTCTTGCCGTTAAAATTTATTTAACTTAAAATCACTAGAGAACAGTTAAATGAGATGATTAGTGGCTAAGAAAATAGATGAAGAATCTCTCAAACTTTTCCTTGCAACGAGCAAAACTCTTTGAACCACAAGTATAAGGCGTTATATGGTGTTTCCTCGCTTTTTTACCCCTTTCCGACAATCTCTGCAAATAAACTATATATTACAACAATATTAGACTGTAAATCAATTATTCAATACACAAGCATATTAGTTGATTTAATACCTTTGAGTCATCTGAGAACCAATAACGAACAAGTTTATCCTGTAGCGCCCCAATTGTTCCAGATTATTTTGAAAATTATTATTTATTTTTATTTATTTTTATTTGTCCGAATAAATTTATTTATTTTAATTATGCTCGTAATTGTCTTAATTATCTATTATTATAGATAAATAAATAATATGTGTAATTAATAAATATTATCGGTTTTATTATCGCCACGTCGAATCGAGCCTCGTTTAATTTTTGAGTCGAGCCCGAGACCAATTGATATATATATTTTCGGCCCAACTTGGAGTTAAATAAAATGATCATATTATTGTTGGGCCCAACAGATTTTTTTTATACCCGTTCCTTCCTTTCACCTCGCCAGAATCAATCCAAGCCTCTTTGTTCTTATCTGTTTCCGTTTGAATTTTGATTGACCGCGTCTCACGCGAATTCTGCTCCAACGACACTCGATCCCTCAATCACTCTCGGCTATTTATCATTCAAACGTTATATCGTCATTTGAAGTAAATCTTAGCATCTCTCAGACCTCACGAGCAGAAAAGCACAGAAATATATTTTCCTTCGTCCCCGTCTTCGTTATCGCCCATCTCCATCAGTCACCATCATCCTCCTCATTTTTGCCCGTCAACTTCCTTTTCTTCCCGGCGCCATCACCACTCCCGCTCAACTCCTTCATCGCTGCGTTTTTCCGGCGATTTCCCGGCGCCATCACAACCACCGCAGCGAACCCGCCCTTCGCCGTGAACCAGCCGCCATCTTCTTTGGCGATTTTTCGTTCGTGCAGCAGGCCCTCCGCGGCAACCTCCACGCCCGTCACCGCCGCTGCACCCCATTTCCGGCGTGAAATACCACCCGCTGCCCCTCTCTCCCTCGCGAAACTCTTCCGACGGGACCCAACAGCACCACGCGACGCCGGAGCAGCCATCCCCGAGCTCTCCAACCAGCGGCCGCCTCGAGCACCCCAGCGAACCCCGACAAGAACAACACCACGAGCAGGCCATTTCCGGCGAGCCCGTCTCAGCAGCCCCGACCTCTGTTCGAGCAGCTCCTTGGCTTCCCATCTTCCAGCGAGCTGCTGACAGCGTGAAGCTAACGTGCGGCCACTTTCGGTCCCTTTTTGTTACTTCGAGTCCCGTTCGCGAGCCGACTTCCGACCCGTCGTTCGGCCCGTTTTTCCTCCGTTAGCTCGTGAATTTCAAAAGCAGGTAACTTATCAAACCCTCTCATTATTTTGGTCATGTTCGTATATCACATGATAGCTGAATATATCATGCGTATTACCGATTATTTGTTTGAAATCGGATTTTGGTTAGAATTGTTATCGACTCGTATATGTCGTTTCGTTTATCGGGTTATGCTCATGACCTCGTTAAACCGAATATCATGTTGTTTCTGTGTTGAACCTCAATGTACTCGTTTATTTGCTGTCGAGAAAGTATATTGATCGTTGTCGAGTTTCGACCCATCCGTGTTGTATTCATTGGTATTTTATGTGAAAATACGTTTTTCCCGATCTGTTATCCCGCGTTTTAAGCTATCTGAGACTGGTTATTTGAAAATGTGGTCTTCATATGAAATGTAGTATGTTTAGTTTCCTAAACCTGGGCTTTAGAATTTCTCAATTCCGATCTATATCGAAAAAGTTATGATTTTTACGAGATTTGTTATACGTCCAGTTTTTCCTAAAACCGGCAGCATAAATGTGTTAAATGGTTGATCTGTTTTTCATGTCAAAATGTGCTCGTATGAACTTACACTCTTCATGAAAGTTATAGATCTGTCTCTTACCTTTCAAATGAGATAAATTTCATGTTGATATGTGCTCTGTGGCTCGAGTTATGATCTTATGAAGTTAGATATGCATGAATTAGGAATCATCATGTTGGCAGAAATCTGAAATTGAATGTTAACCAATGTTTCACTATCCAAATGATCTCATATGATTCTGTGTTCGAAATGAAAGTTGTAGAGTCATGCTTAAGGTTTAATTTGGGATTTGAACCATATCATTTAGAGGTCTGTAGCTCTAGATAAATGATAAAAACTGAGGTGTTGTCCATATCACATGTTTATTTCTGACAGTTTTGTTGAATCACATGTTTTGTGCTTAAAATCGTTGAATAAGTGATTATTTGCCAATGTGATCGTCAGCAAAGTTGTAGAAATTTGAGTTGCCTATCATGTGGTTTTTGAATTTCATCAAAAGCATGCCTGTAGCTCCAGTTAGATAGTAAATATTGAAGTCTGGTCAAGTGCATTTTCCCAGTTTTGGACTATGACTCAATATTTAATGTTTGTTGATTTATCACCTGTTAAATGACCTTATTTACTTTAATGTCATGATTGGTATGATGGAATGGAATGAATTGCAGAATGGAATGATTATGAGAATAGAATGAAACATGTTTTGTCATTGATACGTTTGATATGTAGAAGGAATAAGACTGGAATAGAATGACATTATTATTTTTTATTATAAAAATAAATAAAAGTTTATTTGCCTTTCCCTTCACGTTGACGGAAGTCATTTTTCTAGGCAAAAGAAAGAATCGCATAGGAAGGGCGGGAGAGCAGATTAAATAATTGCATATATAGTCAAGCTTGTTTCTTTCTAAGCTAAGCTTCGACGTTGGCTGGATAGATTCGCTTGTTCACCCATTCGGGCATTCCTTCCTTACTATTTGCTCGCACTCCCCTTCCTGTAATTCCTAGGACAATAGGGCTGGTACACATGCTAAGTGCCCTGTCTGAGAAACTACTACCATTTCCTTACCTAGCTGTTTGGGAGTTCTTCTTTGATTCCTTCGCTAAATGAGTTAACCGAGCTAAACCAGCAAAAGAATATATATGCTAGATAAGAGGATGCCTTATTATATCCTTTTGCTATATATCTTGCACATTACGAAAAATGGATATAATAAGGTATTTCTCTTCGTTGACGCTACATAGCTCATTTAATAGACACCGACCTAACGGCCAGCTGGAATTCGGCTATTTATGTCCACTTCCTTATAGGCACCTTTATAAGGCTTTGGAACGGCCTTTGAACTTACTTAGCCTGGACATTGTTAAAAAATAATATACTTTTAATAAATTATATATAAATGATTTTTCAATAACATATAAAAATAAAATAATATATTTTTAATAATATATAAAAATAAAATAATATATTGTTTAATAATATAAAAAATAATATATTTTTAATAATATATAAAAAAAATAATATACTTTTATATTACATATAAAAAATAATATATTCTTAAAAGTAATATATTTTTATAATTTAAAATAATATATTTTTAATAATATATTATTAATAGTAATATATTTTTAATATATAAAAATAATATATTTTTAATTATATATAAAAATAAAATAATATATTTTTAAATTATATATAAATGCTTATTTTAGTTTTACTTTTATATAAGTATTTAATATATCTAATTAAAATATAAATACAATTAAGTTTTCAATGTTTTTATTTGAACTTTTTTAAAAAAAATAATTTTATTTAATATATTTTAATCATGATTTATAATATATATTATATATTTATTTTTTGTTACTATTTGTTAATTTTATTTTTTGAAAAATTGATTACTACACAAATGGGAATGAAAAAACCTTCCATTTACTATGGAATGGCTAATCCCATGGAGATGGGTTTTGCCATTCCCATTGGAATGGTCATTCCTTCCAAAAAAATATACCAATCATAGGATAAGGAATCAATAAGGGAATAATCATTCCATTCCCATGTCATTTCTTTCTACCAATCATGCCATTAGTGTCTTCATAAGAGTTGTAGTTTCATGTTTTAGGATTCCAATGCAACTTGATTCATGTTCATATGAGTTGTGTGCTGAAAGTTATGTCGATTTTAAAAACGCTGCCCGAGTCAAGTTTCCAAAACTTATGTGATATTTTCGAAAATGTGTTTCTTTGCTTTAATGCGTATTTAAACGATTATATGCACTTAGTTAGACTTAGTGAGTATAGAATAGTCTGTGATAAGGCTATTTTACTAATGTAGGTGTTTGACGATTCGATCTCGCCGCTTACCTTATTTTGTGTTGATTCCGATCACTACCAGGTGGGTTCATTAATGTTGAATCTACATTTATCGCACTTGTTATTTCGTATAAATGTTTGTCGCGATAGTTTTTGTATGCGCGAGAACCTTAGTCTAAGTGTCCTGATGGTAGTGCCTTTGACGAATGCATAATCAGTGGAAGTCACCTGCCCGTTGTATCCGGGAGGTGGACGCCCGAATCCGTGTAGAGCGGAGGGGATTGTCTAAATGCCCGAATCCGTGTAGAGCGGAGGGATAATTCAACTTCACTGTCTCATGGATAAGATCCTATGCCCGTTGCATCCGGGGTGGGAGTGCTTCCAGTTACATCCTCGCTGATGTCTGGTCGGGAGGTTTGTTGTATGTACATAGGAGGTTTGCGATAGGGCCTAATAGGGAGTTATATCTGGATTCTATGCATACATTATTTATGGTTATGGATCTTTATGCGAAATATACTGTGCGATAATGGTGAGTATGATGGTTGTACTCACCCCCATTTACTTTTCTGTCTTCTTGTTTCTCTTCCTATCTTTTTAGGTTGAGCATTGGATGGCAGCGGTAGCGAGAGACGATTGAGTGGTGGTCGTTGGATTGTGTGTTACTTGCTTCCGCTTTCTATTATCTCGCTAAACCATTTGTCTAACTTTGAATAACTATGTTTCCGCTTTATTTATTTCTAACCTGTTGATTAGACTATTGAATTCTGTTGAAGTATTTGTTTATGCATGACTGGTTTGAGGTTTATGGATAACTTGGAATTTTATTTTGAATTGTTAGTTTTTATCTGTATAAATGTTTATTTGTTTTAGTTGTTTAAGTAGCGCACGTCGAATATTAAAGTTTTAAATTGAGATTTTGCGAAAAATAAAATCTGATTTTTATGAATAAATTCGGTAAATTCTTAAAATAAAATGGGGCGTTACAAGCCCATTATAAAGGAGAAATTCCTTTTGGAACATCCTTTAAAATTTGCTGCTCAGTTTTTTCCGATGAAAAATGAGCACATTTTAGCTCATGTTTATAGTTCTTCCATTTTGCACGAACAGAAGTTAACACCCATTTTTTCACAAGCAGTTTATCAGGAATATCAAAATAAACCTCTATCAATAATGTCCATTCCTTAGAAGAACTTTTAGATAAGCAACTTGAATGAATACATAACCCCACAAAATACCTTGGTGAGGTCCCATAAAACATTTTTATCTTCTTCAGGCATTTTTCTCCAATCTGAGTACTCAAGGGAACTAAATTCCTTTTTCCTTGTAACAGTACTGTTGTAGCAAATTTTATTTTATATTTTTTCCGAGCACCGAGTTAAAAACTCGTTTCCCGGGTCGATCTCAAGGACTGGTAAATCGAANTGGACCGAAAGACCTTCTAAAAGACCTAAAAATGAGGGAAAATAAATGTAAAATAACAATAAAAAACGTAACAAAAATAATCACAACAAGTACCAAGCCAACCACCCAAAATTCCACCACCTTTTTTAACGGGTTGCCCTAAATTATTGCACTCGACAAGCACTTTTGTGTCTTTAGGCACTGTCCATACAACTTTAGCGTATGTTTTTCCTCGTCTTTTACGCACAGTACCATTCGGATCTAAATTATGTTATGTTGATCTCAAATTTGACACATGTAATAGAAAAGAAAATAATACATAAATGACAAATAATTCATTTGTGTTCTAAAACATGCTAAATCGCAAACTTTTTAAAGGTGAACTAGAATAGAGTTAATAAATAAAATATATGAATTGTTCTTTATATATTTATACCCCACAGACCACAAATGCTATTACTCAATGACTTAAAACTATTCATTTCTGTTTAGGCACTCATGTCTTTACGCACTCATTCATTAGCAGTGAAACAAATAAGCTATTACTCACCCAAATGCTATTACTCCACAGCAAATGCTATTACTCTGTTTAGGCCACAACAAACTCTATTACTCCAAAATCATGTCTTTAGGCACTCATTCATTTTAGTTTATTTTAATCGTATTTATGTTTAAGAAGCAACAAATAAGCTCACAATATTAGCATTGAAACAATAAAAACAGGATCACTTATCTTGGCCCCAAATCCCAATAATAAGAAGAATTATCACCCAAGTGTCCCAATTGCCAAATGCTACAACCCTTGTCACCAATAAATCAATTGAAAACGAAAAAATATTCAAAATGTTGCCATGGCTATGTAATTACAGAAAGATCACCATTCAACAATAACACATTTTTTCACTTCCTTTTAGCTCTACATAGGCATACATTATAATTAATTTTTAAACTTATACACTTAGTACTACAAAGATAACACATCTAAATATGTTTTTTGCCAAGAACAAAGTAGTACTTCTAATTTCGATGTCCTCGTATATTTCATCGGCGATATGCTTTTCTTGAAGCTCTTGTATTTCAAGGTCCATATCCATAGTATCTGTGGGTTGAGTTTCATCATCCGAATCATCTTGATGACTCTCAACTACATCCGCATCATCATTTTCAGTACTTAAAACATCTCGAATACGTTTTCCAATCATTATTATCTGCAAAAGAAGATGAACAAAATAACGTAAATAAAAAATAGGTATTTTGGCATGTATCTAAATTGAAATAATTAAATAAAAAATACAAATACTATGGAAACAAGTGTTATGAAGATGAGAAAGATTTTAAAAGATAAAGAAATGAATAAAAACAGAAAATATATAAAAATGAGAGAACTCTCATAAATAGCGAGCGGAATGGATGTCAAGGGCGGGCAGTTTGGAGCCCATTTTTCCAGAGTTTCCATTAAAACTGAGATTCTATCCAATCTTGCCGTGAAAAAAAATCTTTGTTTCTGTTGGAAAAAAATAAGAGATCGATATTCTGGGAGCAATTTGGGGATGGAGGTATTCTTAGAAAAGAATGGAGATAAAAGAAAGGAGATATTCTTAGAAAAGAATGGAGATATCTCCATCCCCAAATTGCTCCCAGAATATCGATCTCTTATTTTTTTCCAACAGAAAAAAAGATTTTTTTCACGGCAAGATTGGATAGAATTTCAGTGTTAATGGAAACTCTGGAAAAATGGGCGCCAAACTGCCTGCCCTTGACAACCATTCCGGTCGCTGTTTATGAGAGTTCTCTCATTCTTATATATTTTCTATTTTTATTCATTTATTTATCTCTTAAAATCTTTCTCATCTTCATAACACTTGTTTTCCAGAGTATTTGTAATTTTTATTTAATTATTTCAATTTAGATACATGTCAAAATACCTATTTTTTATTTACGTTATTTTTTTCATCTTATTTTGCAGATAATAATGATTGGAAAACGTATTCGAGATGTTTTAAGTACTGAAAATGATGATGCGGATGTAGTTGAGAGTCATCAAGATGATTCGGATGATGAAACTCAAGCCCCAGATACTATGGATATGGACCTTAAAATACAAGAGCTTCAAGAAAAGCATATCGCCGATGAAATATACGAGGACATCGAAATTAGAGGTACTACTTTGTTCTTGGAAAAAAACCATATTTAGATGTGTTATCTTTGTAGTACTAAATGTATAAGTTTAAAAAATTAACTATAATTTATGCCTATGTAGAGCTAAAAGGAAGTCAAAAAATGTGTTTTTGTTGAATGGCAATCTTTCTGTAATTACATAGCAATGGCAGCATTCTGAATATTTTTTCGTTTTCAATTGATTGATTGGTGACAAAGATTGTAGCTTTTGGCAATTGAGACACTTGGGTGATAATTCTTCTTATTATTGAGATTTGGGGCCAAGATAAGTGATCTTGTTTTTCTTGTTTCACTGCTAAGATTGTGAGCTTATTTGTTGCATCTTAAACAAGAATACGATTAAAATAAACTAAAATAAATGAGTGCCTAAAGACATGATTTTGGAGTAATAGCATTTGTTGTGGCCTAAACAGAGTAATAGCATTTGCTGTGGAGTAATAGCATTTGGGTAAGTAATAGCTTATTTGTTTCACTGCTAATGAATGAGTGCGTAAAGACATGAGTGCCTAAACAGAAATGAATAGTTTTAAGTCATTGAGTAATAGCATTTGTTGTGGCCTGTGGGGTTTAAATATATAAAGAAGAATTCATATATTTTATTTATTAACTCTATTCTAGTTCACCTTTTAAAAGTTTGCGATTTAGCATGTTTTAGAACACAAATGAACTATTTGTCATTTATGTGTTATTTGCTTTTCTATTACATGTGTCAAATTTGAGATCAACATAACACAATTTAGATCTGGATGGTACTGTGCGTAAAAGACAAGGAAAAACACGCGCTAAAGATGTATGGACACTGCCTAAAGGCACAAAAGTGCCTGTCGAGTGTAATAATTTAGGGCAACCAGTTAAAAAATGTGGTGGAATTTTGGATGGTTGGCTTGGTACTGTTGCAAGGAAAAAGGAATTTTGTTCCATTGAGTACTCAGATTAAAGGAAAATGCCTGAAGAAGATAAATGTTTTATGGGACCTCACCAAGGTATTTTGTGGGGTTATGTATTCATTCGAGTTGCTTATTTAAAAGTTCTTCTAATTAATGGACATTATTGATACAGGTTTATTCTGATATTCCTGATAAACTGCTTGTGAAAAAATGGGTGTTAACTTCTGTTCATGCAAAATGGAAGAACTATAAGCATGAGTTAAAATGTGCTCATTTTTCAACGGAAAAAACTGAGCAGCAAATTTTAAAGGATGTTCCAAAAGGAATTTCTCCTTTACAATAAGCTAAATTTGTTCGTTATTGGTTCTCAGATGACTCAAAGGTATTAAATCAACTAATATGCTTGTGTATTGCATTATTGATTTACAGTCTAATATTGTTGTAATATATAATTTATTTGCAGAAATTGTCGGAAAGGGGTAAAAAAGCGAGGAAACACCATATAACGCCTCATACTTATGGTTCAAAGAGTTTTGCTCGTTGCAAGGAAAAGTTTGTGAGATTCTTTATCTATTCCTTTAGCCACTAATCATCTCATTTAACTGTTCTCTAGTAATTTTAAGTTAAATAAATTTTAATGGCAGGAAGTGAAAAATGGGAAGCAACCTGGGCGGCTGGACTTTTTTACAATTACGCATAAAAAAAAAATGATGGAAGTTTTGTCAACCCAAAAGTTGAAAAAATAGTGGTAATGTCTTTTGTCGTTCTTAATTTTATTCCCAGTGAAAACAAAAGCAACTATGTAATGCTATAAACTTAATAATCATTTAATGATAAGGTTGTTAACATAAGAGCGACAAATGTCCTTTTTTTCTTGTGAATGATATATTGGACTAAATTGGTTTGGTAAACAATTTTACTTTCTCTAAATCTATGTTTGTTTTAATATAACACAACAACGAACATGATTTCAGAACGTAGTGCAACCTAGCAAAATGGAGATGTAGATATACTTCAAAATGAAGTCTTCTGTGAACTCTTAGGAGAAGATCAATATGGACGAGTTAAAGGATATGGTTTAGGGGTTACTCCGACACAAGTTGGTGATGGTTAAACCTTTCACTCAAAAGAACGACAATCAAGTAATTTTGAAAGCATGCAAAAAGAACTTGGTGAGATGCAGTCCACTTATGAAACAAAGATTGCTTATGAAAATACAATACCAAAGTTGAAAGACGACATGAATCGAATGCAAAGGGAATTCTTGGAATTTAAAGAAATAATGTCAGAAGTAAATATTTTTATATTCATTCATTATGTCATAAATTCTCAATATTTATTTCATGATGGTAAAGTTATATAATCATATTCTTTGGTGTCTTGTTTTTCTATAGAATTTTTCCAACTTCTCAGAAAGTGTTGGAAAAACATGATTCCTCTTGAAACGTATGTTGGTAAGTAATTACATTTAAATGTTTTATATGAAATTGTGTCTCGTATTCATATATAATTTAAATATAAGGAGCGTATGACGGGCACAAATCTCGTCACCTACCTTGTTTATTCTACATTTTTCTGAATTATTTGAAATTGTTTTATTAGACAATGACGTGGTTTCTTTTTATTATGTTATTGGAATTTTTACATTTGATTTATTTTCTATATTTATTGTGGATATTATTATTTTTCGAGTTTTATTATAATAACTTTTGTTTCACTATGGATTCTCTACTATGTAGATGGAAATTATTATATGTGTAACTAATTTGACGACTATTTTTATAGGCGTCATAATTTTGACGACATTAAAGCATCTTATATCAACGCCATTATTTCATTAGAATTGTCACCAACTTAGTGATATTAGTTAATTAGTTAGTATTAGCAATTCTCACTAAAATCATGACACAATATTGTTGCCAATTTTATAATAACGACGCATTAAAAATGTATCGTAGATTGATAATTCTTAACGCTCATATTTTGCGTCACCAAAAATTATAATGACACACTTAAAAAAATTGTAATGAAGTGAAAATTGCCAACAATACAATTCTAGTGTCATAATAATCCGTATTAATGACGCTATAAAATAAGCATCATGCATTGGGATTTACGACGCTAAAATTTTATGTCACAACTCGTAATAATAATGACGCACTCAAAAGAGAGTCACCCATTAAAAACTACTTATACTAATATATTGTGTCACTAAATTATGTACTAACGACGCACTTTTGAAAAAGTGTCGGGTATTAAAGATTACCTACGCATCTAGGTTGCATCACAAATAAATTCGTGACATCCAATTTAGCAACACAACTCGTGACACTTTTGAAAGTGCGGGTAAATTTATTTGTGACACTAATAAATGTCACCAAATAAAAAATAAACGTCACTAAATGCAAATTTTTTTATGGTGTCGTGAACTCGTGATTAAAATATTTGTGAATTTATTGCTCACAATTCACAAATTATCGATAAAGTCCTCTTTGGATACAGGAATTCATACTCTTTGGGGAATGCCACTAAGATTACACCTACATTTAGTGAATACAGAGCCTTCATGAGTGAAAATGTCAATCGTATCATCTCATGTTGATATAGATATATATGATTAGGTATGGTAAGAGAATATCAATTTTTCTGAACCATATGGACTTATGAATGATAACATTGGGCATATTAATTCTCTCAAACTGCTTATGCTCAATGTGTACATGTCACATAAGCAGTGAACATATTAATTCTCAACCCACCGTGGGTAGGGAAGCAGATCCCATAATTTAAAATATCAGGAGAATATGTCCTTTTATAAGTTGTTGATGAAGAGAAAAACCATACAATTTTCTTTTCTCTTCGCGGGAACATCGTTGGGAGCTAGATTCCTAGTTCTCATAGGGAGGAGTGTTTAAGAATGAAAGACCTCGGTAATGAGCTTGTATGCCACCGAACATAGGCTAATTATCCAATTACACTGTTGGGTTTTATTCAAATTATTCTGATAACTACTGTGTTATAAATCAAATGCCACACAAATAAATAGAAAAAGGAATATAAAGGGAAACTCCAAAGAGGAAACTGATATCGATAATATCCATATATTTATTTGTCAAGTAAAACCAATTCATTTACAACACCTTCAACCTAGACCGTGGACACATAATATCAATGCTTAAACAATTATGCCAAAATGCACTTGTGGAGATAACCAATTGCCTTTTTTCAATAATTCAATAGATTTTTGCAAACAAAGAAGAACTTACTTTGATAATCCCGCGAACAAGCCATCTACCCCACCTTCATTGTAATATACAAGAGAACTTTTTCCATGCACAACTCCATATTGAAATCTCACGATTTTCCCTTTAAAAAATACAATAATTTAGCATACAAGACAATAAAAAACAAAATCCAAATAGTTGCTGCAAACAACGTAAAACACACGAGAAATGGTGGAATCTAGCAAATCTTCATCCCGTGTCAAACTTTGAAAGCAAATGTTAATTGTCATTGGAGTTTTTTTATGGGAAAATAAATTATTAGTGCCTGTCAGGAAAAAATATGCCTCATTTTCCAAGTGTACTTTACAACTCCAGCAATTTGATTGCATTTACTTTACGCCTTTGAATTTGTTAAACTCTTTCATTTTGTTTCAAATGAATTAATTGTATACATGCTTGAGATTCATGCTTAAGAATAATGTTCCTGATAATTGCATTCCTTCATTATAGGAGCAAATCAGGATTTCATAATACAAGCAGCCGCAACTCACTTGTAGATATAAAATAATCATGTTTCCAAATGACAGATCTGTCAAATATCATTCCCCAGACCACTTTACTACAAAATGACAGGCTTCACTTGCATTATCTGTCTTTGTTTCGCATTTTTCACACCTTAAGCATCTCCTGCAGATAGTTTGTGAAAAGAGTAAACATTAACCATTGAGACAAACATGTCACTCAAGATGTCATATAACCATAGCCCCTGAATATCAATTACAGAAAGAACAAATATTATCAAACACCTGACCATCAAGGAACAAAAGAAAAGGTCAAATGGTCAATAATAGTTCAACATTGATATATCATGTCAAATGTTGGATATCTTCAACTTTCTAGTTACCATTCATATTAAATAAAATTTCATATTTCAATTTCTTGACTCTTTACTCTTATCAATTGGTACGACCTGTCGGGAAAACATCACACTTGGAATTACATATGGAGGCATTGGAGAAGTAAAGGGCAGACAATATGAATGCCCAACATATGTAAAAGGTGAATGCCAAGGACTGAAAGAATAGTTCAACATTGACCTACTTCGACCAGTACCATCAAAGGCATTAATCACCATTTATTGAATGCACATTGATTTAGCAAACCAAATATAGATCATACTGATTGATAATTCTATCTATCTATCGTATGATCATATTTCTTCTATGTCATTTTATATCCAATCTAACACATAAACATACCCTCAAAATTTTCTTCAGGAGAGCCATGATGTACTTATATGGCCTATCATTCCAACCCCATCATTATCACCCACATAATCCTACATCGATCCATGAGGAAGCAACATAAAGACAGTTTCATCTCCAGGTTTTATTTCTCTTATCAAACCACTGATAATGCAGTAGTCATTCTTTTGTAATAATAGGTTCCCTTCTTTCCTAGCCAGAATAAACTAATCATATTTCCAAAGGCCTTAAGTTTATTCTTTCCTTCCTTCCATATAGGCCAGAAGCTCATCCACAAATACTTTAATGGCCGACTTTGCTTTTCCTAACAAGTTTGGAAATGCGAACAAGAAATGTTTGGCTCAAAAAATTATCTTTTATCTAAAGTGAATCCACAAATCGACCAACTAAATTATACAAAGCACAAGAAAAATGGTCAAATACACTAGCAAAGCTTTATCCAACCTTTGAGCCAGCAATAAATTTGATTGTCATTAGCCATTACATGTCAAGATACACAATAGCAGATCTTGACCCAAGACTGATGAACTAAACTCAACTATTCTCCTGCCTCAGGAAGTATGCTTGCAGTTTTATGTAATATTTATCCTATTACCCATGTTTTTTCTGCAGTGTACAACTTTTAAAGTCTAAACTAGTAGCCATTTCAATTGATCATCTAAAAATATAGACCTTCACCTCGGTGCAAGAAATAGCAAATATAATATCCTATATAGATGAAGTATTACCTCCATAAGCTTCCCCAATGCATACACCAAATAATGGAGCTGTAGGTCCAAGTTCCTGAACTGTCTGTAGGGATATTCTAGAATCTTGAGGTGTACCTGAACTTAGAAACAAGAAGGTGATGAAATCCAAACCATATGAATCAATCACCCAAGATAAAGAAAATAAGCAGAGCAAACTTCTTGCCAGGTCCAGGTGATATTAGTATACCCCTTGGGTTTTTCCTACAAGAACCAACAGTAATAACTAGCTTGGTCCCCAATAAACATAAACTTTATCTGTACCTTGAAATTGATAAAGGAAAATTAGAAAGGACCAGACACATATTTTACAAGAATACTGACAATTAAGGCTCCTTTTTATGTTGCAAATGTTGAAAAAGAAAAAAGAAAAGAAAAACAATAAAAACAGCATCTAACCAATTGCAGGCAAAAAAATTCGTATTTCTTGTCAAATGGATGACCTATTTGTTGTTCTTAAGCCTCTAATTGATTAGCAGCCTGTTCAAGTAGGCAAAAACTTGCTTGATCAAGTGGCAACTTATTTTCGTAACATTAACCAATTAAACATTATTGTCATATCCTCTACTCTGTAAGGATCAGAATAAAAATGCAATCATCTCAATCATATCCGCATGCACGATAATTAACGATGAAACCAAATGTAGCCATGTAGGGATGAACTTTCCAATTTCTTTTTCCAATCAAACACCCAGTACACACCTATTTGTTGTGTGTGTGTGTGTGTGTGTGTGTGTGTGTGTGGATTAAAGGCTCCTCAGGACCAATAGCATTGATGACACATCAACTGAATCTAACAATGTAGGTGCCACTTGGAATTCATAAAATATGACAGATAGTAAAGCAATGTAAAGAACAGTGAGCACTATGCATATAAAACACTACAATATTATAGCCCGCCAATCCATTACAAACCACCTTAAAAATCACTTTCCAGAACTATACCCACAAATTGTAAAGGTATTTTTCCTTTTTAAGAAATCCTTACCGTTTTAGCTCATCAACAGTGAGCTTGTCATTTTGGTACACCTCGAGTTCACAACCCACCTCTCCCATATACTGTTATAAATCCAAAACATTTGGAAACGAGAAACTGAAAAAAAAAAAAAAAAAAATCNAAAAAAAAAAAAAAAAAAAAATCTTATGATTGTATCATAGAAACAAGAGAAAAGGAAAAATCGAACTGACTTGACATAGATTATAAGTGAAGCTGTCGTAATTATCAATGAGTACAATTCGATTAGTGCTCCTCTTGACGGAGGCACTTTCAGAAATCGCCATGGGCGTTTTGGTAGCAGCAAGGAAAAAGCATGTGGTTGGGCGTAGATGCAAACAAGCCGGCGGATGGGATTTTGACAGGTTGTGCCTTATGCAGACAGGAAAAAGTTCTGCCAATAGGCGTGCCGTGGGCGACCATGAAGCGGCGGATGGAGAGTGCCGGCTGATGCTTTGTCGGAATTTTGGATCGAGTTTAACTGCGCGGGATTTTCGTTGAGAATGCGCCATGGACTTTTTGCCATACCACTTTTCTAAAATGGGCTAGTATGAATAGGTACAATGCCCTGGCTGTAATTATTTTGATAATATTTAATAAATTGAACGTTATTAATCAATAAGTTATAACATGTACTACTTCATATTCTTTTTAAATGTTATTTTAGCTCTATCAATCATTAACTAAATAAATGTCGTTTTAGATTTTTTGTACATGTCTTTCCATTATTACTCTCATTTAGCTAATAAAAACACTACGTCTTTTCATATTCACTCTTCATTTTTTCTCAAAACATTCATCTCTATCTTCATTAATGAAGGTTATTATTGGCAAAAAAAATATTCTTAATTATTGTGCAACTTCTCAAAACGACATCTATATATATTGAAAAAGAGAGGTAGAAAAATCCTTTCGGAAAAGTTTTAAAAAACTTGCAGTCAACCTATTTGACTTACTTAATATGGTAACCAATTTAAAAAATAATTTTTGATTTTATTTTTTATTTTAGGCGTGTAAAATCTGTTGGCCTCCATTTGTTACTCCTTAATTTAAGCATCTTAGAAACCAATCAATTTAAAATTGTGATTCCATATTTAAAAGCCCAAAGATCCGAAATTTTGATTCCATAATTTACGTACAATTATCAACTATAATTCCTAATAAGGGGCGGTTGTTACAATTTAATCCAAATCAATTTAATATCTTTAACAAAATCAGCGTTTTTTCATCTTAAAAAATTTAAAGATTATTATCTTAACAAAAGATTTCCATATTTTACGTGATAAGTTTGTTGTGCAGATCTATCGTGTATAAAAGATTGTTAAAACGCCACTTTTCTTTATCACTTCCTTCACAACATTGCGGAGAAAATAATACAAACGAATTTCAATATACACAGAGAAAAATGCCGCCATTCTTTGCTTCAATCAACTCCGTAACCAAGTCCAACAAACCAATTTTGCGTCTTATTGAAACGCATCATGATAATGAGAGCTTGAATTGTTTCCATATCCTGTTTCATGATGAAGAGGTAATATTTTTTGATGTTATATCAAAAATACATAACTACGAAAATTATTTTTCTTAATTAATTTCCCATTAATTATTTTTTTACAGTTCGAAATTTAATAATACATCGATTATGTCTATATATTAGTAATTGTAATATATATTTTACTACATTTTATTTTCGACATATTTGTATTAAGATATTAAAAAAAAATTCTGAATAATGAAATAAAATGAATATAATAAATTGGCATCACAGATTTCATAAAAATTGTACACCCATTTTAAATCAAACACAAAAAAACGTAGTTTTATATTTATCTCCTCGGTTAGAGATCTCAAAAATATCTATTTCCTTTTTAATTAAACATTAAACCCAAATCTTTATTTTTGTAAAACGTGTATATGTGAAAGTTGTCCATAAAACGTGGCATGTAATACAGAATTGTGACACGATCCAAAGAGACCTAATTCGTTTGAATTCGAAACAATAAATATTTTAGTATCAAATCATACTACATAGTAAGTACATTAAACAATTGTTATAGTCAATAAATTACACAATCGTGTACAATCGTATAATTCCAATTAGTTGAATTTGAAGGCAATTAAAATTAAATTATTATATTCAAACATTTCTAAAATTCAGACATTTAACTTAGATAACTATGGCAAGATACGAATTTATCCATAATTTAGATATTTTGTAAAAAAATTTTAGATCCTGTGGATTGAGATAATTAGGTAATAGTTGAGATAACTATGTTGAATAAATAACCGATTTTATCCCCAAATATATTGAGATAAATAAGTAAAGATTATGATAACTACGTAGAATTAATCTAGATTGATTTTTTCGTAAATCCAATTTACTTATTCCTTTAAGTAAATAAATCGAAGAATGATTGTTTCCCGTTTATTCCGTGTTTTATACTCGGAGATTTACCAAATCTTAGTAGTCTAAATTTATCTAAGATTTAGAGTTATCTTGTGTATCATTTATCGCGATTGCCTATATTCTCTACTCTATAAATTGATTATGATGCCCATATATAACTAACTATCCTATATTCTCTCTATTAAATAAACGACTCTCATTGATAAATTTGTCGTGTCTTTTTGTCAAATCTTATTATACAATAAAATTCATGGTGGCGCAGATATGCTCCGCGTATAAAGAAGGAAAACTCCAATTGATAACTGTGTGAGTTTAACTTCGCATAAACTCTTCAAAGGCGAAACAAGTATTGGACGGACAAGTATATACAATACAAGGCTCCATGGAATCGGAAAAATCAATATCAAACAGTTCAATGAACAATCAATCCAAGAAACCCCGCAACAAGTTTAAAAACATGGACAGAAACCAAGGTAATTTCTTTATCATACAATTAACAAATACTTTTTTTATTATATTTATCCAATCAATATGTAATGTTGATGTTTTTTGCAATATTAATCCAATTTTTTTTTTAATGTATCTATATATGAATCGAAGTCTCTTCAATGGATAGAGATGCAGTCAGAAAAAAAATCAATACATTTTTTGAAGCAGATAAAGAATTCAACAAACGGATTAGAAGAAAAATGCCATCATTCATGCTTCAGTTGGTAATTATAACACTTATACTTGAAATGTTTTTATTCATATATTGCTAATTCTTATTTATGCATGTAAAAATGCTAGAATCTTTGATTAAATCCAACACGAGCACTTCATCACATAAGGGATTTAACAAGAGGAGCAAAAAAACCGATGAAGGTACTATATTGCAAGGTAAATAAATAAAGTGTTTATGTTGGTTTCATTGTTGGACTGCTCGGTTTTATTTCTTACGATCATAGTGCAGCTATATTTATTCATAGCAGTTTGGATAACTTACCTGATTGCATTTACCAGTGTCATTACACAGTTTGTGTACTGTTTTCTGTGTTCATGCCTTTATTTGATCATTCTCCTTATTGTGTACATGCATTTTGTACAGAAATATTTAATATTTTTATATATGTTTTGTATTTATTTTATTAATGTAGATGAAAATGTACTAAAAATATGAAGTTTACCCCTTTTTTGTATGTATAACTGCAGTTTCATAGTTGGTCTGCTATATATTTTCTCCAATGTTTGCGTTCTGTACATTAAACCATTGTGAACTGTATGTTAACAAATGTACTATTGTTTTTAATAAATAAACTTCACTTAAAAACTGGACAAACCTTAGTAGACTCGGATTCATTTCTTTTCTATTCACGGTTGTAATTGGACCGACAGCCCATCTAACTCCGTAATTTTTTTTTAGCCCATGCAATTAACAAGATATTGTAAGAATTATTGGAATTCGAACTTAATAAATAAGTACAGTATATTATGAAATAGATATAGACAATAGAAATTAGATTTATTGTCGATTATAAAATCTGAATTCGAAAATTACGAACCTTCGGGTAATCGTCGATTTTATTGCTCATCCTGTTGCAGTTTTTGTTGCTCAGCTTTGCTTTCCATATCGCCGTGAAATATATCTTCTAATGTGACCGGACATATTCAAACTAATACACAAAATAAAAATACAAATGTAAAACACACATTGACATTTTTCTGTAAAACAAAACAAAGTCTCCGTTTGAATTAGTGAACTACTTACAAGCTTACACAGATAACAAAATGAGATTTATGGTAAATTTGAAAGAAGTTCACGCATGTATGAGTCAAAATTAGAAATAACTATAAGGTTACACAGATCTAAATAATTGAACGCATGTCAAATATATACGAACCTTTATTGGACGCCGATGGATTTCTTTATCCACAACTTGGATTTAAACCGGATGGCCTCTCTAATTCCGCAATTTGTGTTTTCCCCTTTTGATTAAACAATAGATTGTAAGAAAAATTTCGAGTTCGAAGTTAATCATTAACGCCCAGAAGATTATAGATTAGACATTAGAACTTCGATTTGTATACAATTAACTAATGTAATACCTCATATCGACAGTGTTGGGCCTTCCATTTCGCCGTCAAATTACTCTTCTAATCGGCCGATGTGCTCAAATACAGATAAAAAATTAGAAATTAATTATAATTTGCATGCCGAACAAAACTACACTGAGACATCACAAAAATTGAATTCTCAGTACAAAAAATAGTAAAATTTTTATAATCTTACACAAATCTGGTAAGGAAAATATAATATATGATAGATCTATACACGAAGAATTGAATTAATAATCGATTGAACATAAAATGAACAAAAAAATTATACAAACCTTCTCTTTGTCGCCGATTGTTTTCGTAATAATCAATACGAAAATAGTAAGAAATAACAAGTGAGAAGATCGAAAAATTCATATCGTTCGTCACGAAATCTATATATATCATACTTAGATCTACTATAATTTCCGTATTTGAAGCCAAATGATAAAAAATTGTGGGCTCTTTGTTCAAATTTTTTTTTTTCGAAATCAGACATACACCCGAAAAATGAGAGAGAAAAGCGGTGAAGAAAGCGTCGATCTTTTTGGTGAATGAAATGGAAACCCTACACAATGCCCGTGCTTTTTATACTCTTACCTAACAATTTACAGCCGTCCGATCCTTACATGTGTACCACTAATGACCGTCCGATTCGCTTTTATAATTGGGTTGTTGAATTGGGCTATAATTTTTCCCTTTGATAGACACTAAAAAAAAAGGTTATATAACAGGCCTAATTTAGAAAAATTGGGGTGATGAATCGGGCCTATTTAATTAAATTTATCTGCAGCCCAAACTTTTAATTAAGTGTTTTGCTTTATTTGTTTTATTAGGCTTCTATTTAACTATAAGTTTGTGTTTTAATTAGTTATCCCAATATTTAATCAACTTTGGATACTTTGTACAATTTATATATGTTGAATATTGTGTTGATCCACAATAGTTAAATATCCTGAGAAATCGAATTGTAAATAATTTATTGATTTATATTTGTCGTTTAGATGTGATCAATGTTGTTATTTTAGTATTCTTATTAATGTTGTGAATTAATTATGTTATGATGTGA